GAGTACAGCAAAACCAAACAAAGCCAAACGAAACCAAACAAAGCCAAACGAAACCAAACAAAGCAAACTCGAACAAGTGAGGCTCCTAATTACGTCAAATGCACCCTGTTCCTACCTCTCTAAATTCCATGCCGCTCCAGTTACTAGATTGGCTAATGCATCATGTGATTTACACAGCGAGACAAATTCCTAACAACGCTAATGGCATGTTTGAAAAACAGGCAGTCAACGAATACACCCTGCCCCTGCTTATCACAGAAACAAAAAACAAGGAACAAGAAACAAGACGGCGCCAAAAACGCCTAAAAATCCACTCAATGACTGAGACTAGTATTATCACTCGGCACGTGCTACTCATCACAGAACAACCATCGATAGGTCTAAGACCAAATTTTGTCACGTCCTTTCGGAAACCGTTGCAGAATCCTCTTCAGGGACTCAGATGAAAATTTCTTGATTCTCATCTCTCGTTGCAAACTCAAGACTCTCATGAGGATAGTCTGACGATCGTTAGTATTCCTATCAATGCGGTGGAGACAGTTTCCAATGGTTGCGCTCTTCTGTTCCTTACCGGACCAAGACATATAGGGTTGTCCATTTTTAATCACCAGCTCATCGGCCTCCCACATGAACATTTCATTCCTAGACGACTGAACACATCTCAAGTACGGGTAGGCATCATTGGTACTCGTAATAGTACCAAGGAAATCCCATTGTCCGAGCCCGTCATCTGTTCGTTTCAGAGTGAGGTTATTGGGGTAGTAGCTCTCGAAGTCCTCCTGAATTCTATGGACAAGAGTAAGTTTCCTGCCTCCGCTGAGGATAAAAATACTCACATCGTCCATAAAATGGATGCCAAAAACGTTCCTACGCAGGCTCCCGAGTTGCTCCAGGAAGCGGTATTCCGCGAAAGCACACAACAAGCAGGCAAGTGGTGGGTTAGTGCTCTTCCCCATCGGAATACCCACCACTTGTTTGAGCAATACTCCTTTGACCTTCGTGTAGGTGTGTTTTAATTCCCATTGGACGAAGCTTCGCACCTGCTCGAGCTTCATAGACCTCCATTGCTCATCACCCATCGTTCTTCCGAAAGTGCAGCCCCTGCCCCTCGTGTTAACCTTCAGTTGAGTTCTTCCTTTCCTCAGATGAAAGTCGACAGCCCAGTCGCCCGCTGCGATGATCTCTGCATGTGGTAACTTACTGAACATATCCTTTATGTCATATGACAAGGATATGATTTCAGAGTTACTATGCCACATCCCGCCAATCTTCTTGTTATATTTCTTCAATCGTGGCACCAGATCAGTAACAGACTTAAGGTTAAAGTGTCGGTCGATAAGTAGTGTCCCCAATAGGTGATTGAGGGCTTTCGCCATTGCCTTACACGTTCCTACAGTCGTCTTCGAAAAGGTAGGGCAGATCGGTCGGTACCTAGACAGGTCCTTGTGCTTCGGAAGAATATATGACTTCCCAAACTTCCCCTTCTTGTCCCATCGTATGAATTGTGTCAGATCGGCTTCCTTCGCCTCTTCTCACATTTGAAGCATCACATCAGCTTCACTCGATTCGATGATAACGTAACCGGGTGACATCACAAAGCTACTCGTTAATCCGTCAAAATACACTTTTGGACATAGAACCAGGGTTTCCATCGGATTCCTGTCCAATGGTGTCAGCACCAGACCTTCGTCATGGACCACCTTCGGATTCAAGAAATCCATTTTTCAAACTTAGATCTCAGTAAACAACTCTCAACCTCGGTCCTGGTGATAATTGGTACCGAACCTTTGAAATTCGCCCAAACCCGAATTCCATCAGAGATCTCGCGTACCAAAAGAGTCCCTCGATCAGGTAAGGATAACTTTGGGATGTTATGCGCATTATAGATCAGCGGGTGTACTCCTTCTAGGTCTTGGAGTCGGAACAGCATATGGGCTCCTAACAGCAAATGGGCTCCTACCCGAGGGGAGGGTAAACCTGCGCATACGCAGGTGGACACAACAACTCTCGCAAAGAGTCACTGGCTGTGCAGCATGCTAGCAACCGACGAAGTTTTTGTCCATACGATTCTAACAGTGCTACGTGCATGATCCTTTACACACCTTGGAATCGGTAAGCTCTCAATCCTATCATTGACTAACTTCCTCACCTCCACCATTCGAATCCTGTCGTCAAATCTCAAACGTATTATCATTCTGGCATTAATCTTTCATCCATACGAGTCTAGAATCGATCGTGAAATCAGGCGCCTAAGGTAGGCAGTGCTAGCTGCTTGCTGAAAGTCACCTGCTGAACGCATCATTCGTACCAGAGTTTCCAAGTTGCACTGATTAAGCAACTGCATGCGTAGCGGGTTACGAAATAGTTTACGAAGGAAACGCTTGTGAGGGCCAACCTTCGGCCGCCACCGCCTCAGCTGCAGGATATCGATTTGCATACCAACTTCAAAGTGTCGCTTGCAGGTATACAATTTCAAACGTTGCCCTGGCGCTCGTACATCCGAGTTCCCAAAAGATGCCTTAACAGACTTCCAACCCCTACACCAGCTATTACCTTCCTTCGTAACGATCTTGAACTTCAGTCGATTCTCTGTTTCCTGCTCCTCCAACAAGTGAAAAATATCGACTCACCAGTCCTCACTACCAGGCAGTCTACCCCGTACTGGGTTCAATGCTTCTCCCCGACACTCGTCATGGTACGTATCAGCTACCCTTCGGCCTCTCTCTTGCTTGTCGGGTCTCTGCTTCTTACTTCTTCCTTTACGGTTCTTCCCCGAAGTGTTCAGCACAGGGCGCCACCGTCTGATATATAGCTGCTCCAAGGATTGCAACTCGTGTGCCGCGCAATCTTCGAGTGGCAGCAGGACGTATGATTCCGCTCCAAACACTTGTCACCAGCGGTATAGGTGTGTCTGACGACTTCCGTTTCTGCAATTCGACGCATGTTCCTTTCACCTTCTGTTACCACTTCAACGTGTCTGGCCCACATATTGCGCTCGACAAGTAGGTGAGGTAAGAAGGTAAACTCCGCTAGTGACACAGTGAAACGCGAGCACCCCGTTCTGCTGATACAACCTAATCCATGTGTCAACACACTTCGTGAGCCATCTGATCTGGTTCCTCAATGCCAGTATCACAATGATAAGACGGTAGATTATTTCAACTGCTTCATCATATAATCCTCTCCTTCTCTCAATCACCAAGGCCCTACAAAGCCTCCAGTAGTCGTTGTTTCTTCATGCTTCACTCTCCTTATCATCCCCAAACTCATTGGCCGATTTTTTTTCATCCTCGGCTTCCACAGTCCTCTAAACACCTTCGTCCTCATCGGTACCATAGGCAGTATGGGCGCGTTTCTCTGTAATCGCAAGAATGATGTCCATCTTCTTTCCTTCGACAGTGACATCCTCACCACGACACATCGTCTTTAACTCCTCCATATTAAGCGCGCCTAGTTCCCGCAGATTCTCCTGAACGTACTTCAGTTTTCCCATCACACTTGGTGATGCTGGGATCTTCCGTCGTCTGGTCAGCGTCGCTGATGCCGGTGTCCGCTTCCTCAGGGACGACTTTTTCAACGATTGGTGGCGGCAGATCGGCATCAGCTTCTTCGGATCCATCCCTCCCCTCTTGGCAGATCTCTTAGCGGGGGTCGTTACAGGCGGGCTGCCCCCCACGGTTTCATCAGCTCCTCGCTTGTGTTTCTCGTGGATGATCAGTCGTTCTTCTTGCTCGCTAAGGGTTTCAATCTCGCTATCATCGGAGCCGCCGGCGGAGTCGTCCGATTCGTAGTCTGGCACCTTCGCCTTCCCTTTAGCCTCCTCTGATAGCATTGTCTGCAGCAACTGGTCGTGCACTCCTTCGCTCATGGCGCTCATATGCAATTTCATCTCCATGCACATCCCCTTCAGCATGACAACTCTATCCTCTGCCTCCTTCTTCTTCTTCTCTTCCTTTTTCCTAGCTCGTCACTCCCTGGCTTGTTGCTCCAACTCCTCTCGTTTGCGTTGTTCCTCAATCTCTTGCTCCCGCTTCTTATTCTCTTTCTTTAGTCGCTCTTCTTTGTCCTTACGTTCCAGCTCAGCATCAATAAAACTCTTCATGCTTGCGATGGTGGTAGTAAAATCCTCCAGCTGTTTTCTGATAGCTGGTTCTTCCGACAGCGATCGTTTTTCACTTCCTTTGACTAGGTGTCCTGGCGATGACGATCTTCACCGGTGCGAGCTTTCTTCTCCAATAAGCTTAGGGCGCTGGTTCCGGTAGTGTCCCAGCTCCCCGCATTCGTAACAGGTGACAGGCGGTCGTAGGGGCCCCTCTCGATGAACGTAGCCCCTATCAGTGGGTTGTCTTTCTTCGTCTGTAGAGCACTCTCATTGCACGTCCCGTCCTCTTCCGTGTCCATCCCGACTACTATGTCTCCCTTCGTCATAGTTGAAATCGCGCTCGCTTCTGCGTCGATAGTCCCGATGATCACGGTAACCCGATCGCTTGCTTCCAAGGATAATACACACCCTTAGCTTGGTTATCCTTGAGAAGAACATGAACAAACACGCCGTAATGTAATGGAGTGTCGGAGTCAAAGTAGTAATGATAACAAATAGTAACGAAGGTAGCAGTAGATCACTTCAGCATGCTCACTCTTGCTCGGCAACTTCCGAGCTGGTTCACATGGGCCTTCAACAGTGATTTGATAGTTTGACAAAATCTCAAAGAGAACAGTAGTTGCACAAGAAGAACCAACAAGTCCAAGGCAAGATTGCGAAAGCAAAGTCACAATGGAAAAATGATTACAATCCAATGTAAAACAAAGTCGATTGTCACGTCGGTGGGTATGGCACCCCGACCGGTTTCGGCCGCCGCCACGCGGCCTTCCTCAGGGGGGAATCCGCCAAACCTCAACCCTTAACTAACGCCACTCCTTCCATTTCCCTCCTCCGTCGTCAACCGGCGACATCTCCGAAAACGCCGACCGGCAGACTAAACATCGGACCCAAAAAGGACCGTCAACGAGACAATCATTGGTATTATAGGTAGCCTACTTACTAAGCGACAAAGCACACCTTACCAGGCCGGTCAACAAAACCAAATTTAGGCGCTTCACCAAACAATGCTCACCAGTAGTATCAGTGGTCCAAACGGCATGTACTACTATTCGAAAACCTCCCATAAATCAGTCCCTACCGCTTCACACTAGGTTCGAAGGGCAATGGTCCCGGGGGGACGAAACCAGGACAAACGAAAAATCATGAAAGTCAAAACACATTGTCTGGGGATCGAAACCCAGATCAGGGAACAAAATTTAGAAACAAGAATCGTCACATGTTCGAAACCCGAGCAAAACARCACAAAAAACTAAATCTTCAAAACCAAAGAATAAATCGTCGCGGGGTTCGAATCCCATGGAAACAGAGTACAGCAAAACCAAACAAAGCCAAACGAAACTAAACAAAGCCAAACGAAACCAAACAAAGCAAACTCGAACAAGTGAGGCTCCTAATTACGTCGAATGCACCCTGTTCCTCTCGCCAAACATAAAAAAATAAAAAAAACAGAAAGAGAGAAGAAAAAGGGCAAGCAAGGCGTTTTTCTTTTCAGGCGAAGTATGACAGCCTTTGCCTCTTTTGCCGAACTCGGTGACGCCCGTGTATCCTCTCTTCGAGTTGAATCATACTCCCGCTATAACTTTTTCTTATAATTTGTCGATGTGATTGCAACCAGATTCATCCACGTCTGACCATGATTGCACTCCGACACATGTAGGGAAGTTGTAGTGTGAATATGCCCTGAGTGTGGTCATTTTACAGATGCAACAGATAATTCGAGCTTGCGCATACTCCGACTAAAACTTTTCCTTCTAAGCTGTGGACGTGATTGTAATCAATTTCATCCACGTCTGACCGTGATTGCAGTCAGATACGAGTAGCCAAGTGCTAGTGTGAGTATGCCCTGAGTGTAGTTATTCTACAGATGCGTCAGACAGTTCAAGCTAGCGCAAACTCCCACTATGACTTTTTCTTCTGAACTGTCGGAGAGAGAGAGAGAGAGAGAGAGAGAGAGAGAGAGAGAGAGAGAGAGAGAGAGCGAGTTGTCACATGGCAGCAGGGTATTGGTCATGACCAAGAGAGACCACGAGGCGTAAATGAGTTCGCAGTGGGTATTCAGGGAGGGCACCGACCAGGAGGTTACCAACTGGGCCGCCACATTCCGACGAGTTCGCAATGGGTTTTTAGGGGGGGCGCCGACCAGGAGGCGCAGATGGGCCCAATCCCACAATTTCCACTGATCAAATTTGGTGATTTTTCGCGCTTAGAAAAATAAGAGAAACAATCTGAAAATTTGAGATCATATAAATTAAGTCGTGGTAATTACGGAACAAATATCTGAAAAAATAAACCATCAAATAAATGTCGTGCAAATTCGTCATATTTTTCATTTTTGTCACTCTAGCGAGTGGGTCAAAGGGAAAATTACCTTAACTTCTGTGATTTTTCACGCTCCGAAGAACGCCTTGAAAACTCTAAACATTTACGAGTCTATAGATTTGGTTGTGATTTTTTCAATAAAAATATTTTAATTAAAAATAAAAGTTACTGAAATAAATGTTACGCCGATTTGTCTTATTTTTGATTTTTGCCACACTACTAATTGTGGACCAACGAGAAACATATCCCAATTTCAGCTATTTTTCATTCTCAGAAAAATTCATAAACAAATCTGAAAATTAAAGGGTCTGTAGGTTTGGTCGTGATATTTTTAAAAATTTTAGTTTTAAAAAACTTAAAATTTATTTTATTCATGAAATAAGAGTGGTGGAGGCAATATGTCGTATTTTTCATTTTTGGGCCTCTATGAGGTCTCCGCACTATGCTACTGGTAACCCTCATGAACATGTGCTACCGGTCCCCTGACTTTCACAATGTCGGATAGAGTGGTGGTTTAAACCACAAGTGCACGCCGCCTCTTTTCCCTAGTGTATGCAGTAAACAACAAACTTTTTTTTAGGGTCGGTAGAGGGTCGATGACGAAGTCTAACTGCGCCCTATTTGAATACGGTGCAGGCCTAACAGGTTCAATGGTAGGGTGCCCGACGATAGGTCTCGAGTATAATAATACGGCGCAGGCCTACCAGGTTCAATGGTGGGGTGCCTGACGATAGGTCTCGAATATAATACCTGATAGACGGTGGGGGGAGGGGAACAGACAACAACAAAAACGGAAAAAAAAAAAAAAACCTTTTCGCAGTCACAAAAATTCAAAGGTAGCAAATAGACCTTACCACATTCTTATTCGATGGACAACAGTGTTCGTTGCATAGTAATAAAGAGGAAAAAAAATATAAACTACCCACAATGCTGCCATTGGTATTGTTATTTTTATAATGTCATAAAGAGGGCACATGGTCGCGAGCGAGGAAGAAAGTCACGGAGACAAACAGATAGAGACAGAGAGAGAGAGAGAGAGAGAAAAAAAAAAAAAAAAAAAAAAAAAAAAAAAAAAAAGAGGGAGAGAGAGAGAGACAAAAAAAGCAAAAAAAAACGGACATTTCGCCCTCGCTCCACTGCTCGCCACATGCACAAAACAAAAATGGTATAATGTTGTATCTTTCAATGGTTTAGCGGAAAATTCATTCTTATTTTGCACATTTGGTGAGCACTGCCGTACCGATGGGCAATTATATCAGTCCTCATAATGGCATATACGTGTGTTTGTTTTCAACTTTCAGGGATAGATTGATTACGAATCTTCCCCGGAAAGTTCGGAACATATACCCGCATATGTGATTTGGAACACCACACACATGCCGAACTCTATTTTGACTTATGCCTTTTTTTTTTTTTTTTTTTTTTTTAATTTATCTCTCACACACACACACACTCACACACACACATAGTCGGAGGGCGGGGTGTCCCGAGGGCGGGGTGTCCCGACCCTAAGTGGTGTATCATGCACACCCTTTATGTAGATGGTTTTCATATTGTATACCAGATGTTTTTTGTCTCCGGTCTGTTCCTTGACCAGTCCTTGCTAGCACCTCACTAGCAAAAGGAAGGGGATGAGCCACTGGACTTTTCTTTGGTCCACACAGATTCGACACCTTGTTGTACAACTAGATGTAAAGGTCGTATCGTCGGCTTAAGAATTTTTACTGCGCGTCGAGATGTACTTGACCAATTTGTGGGATGGCCTTTCCTATGTAGTCGCTATCGAAGCTAAGAAAAAAAAAAAGATAAAAAAGTATATCGTCAGACTAGTAAGCTATGCCAAAATCAGGACCTTTGTTTTAGTTTTATCAGATCATATGATCCACAACAGTTACGACGGATCTTTTTTTTTTTTTTTTTTTTTTTTTTTTTTTTTTTTTTTTTTTTTTTTTTTTTTTTTTGGGGTTTTTTTTTTTTTTTTTTTTTTTTTTTTTGCTAAGTTTATTCGCAGGAAAACGAATGGTTTGCTTTTGATTTTGAAAGTCATGAGTGAGCGATCTAAACTGAGTCGACCTCTTGCGTTTTATTTGTCGGAGGCATGATCTGCCAAGCATCGCAGTGGAAAACTTCAAATTGGGGGTACTCGCTACCGCTTTGGTAGGAAGTCAATCACTTTTGCGGAAAGTCATCAACCTCATTAGTGGTAGTTTAAAAACTGCTTTTAAAGGAGAAAGAGCGTATATCGGTATCGCATTATGGAACCATTGTGCACTAAACATGTAGCCTTTTCAAACCAAGTTGAAAAAAATAATAGATCCAGGTCGTAGAGTCATGCTCTAGCAGTGATCGTTCAATTTTTATCATTAATCGAATCTTTTTTATTTGTCAAAAAAAATATTATTATTATTATTATTATTTTAATAAGCACTTTGAGGGATTTTTGTGCCTCTCAATGAGAACACAGAGACCATGATGTTTTTAAAGTATATAAAATTTAGTTTTTTTACTATTCGTACTGTTGATTAAAAAAAAACATGTATAGGCGTGTATTATCTTTGCGTCGTTGTGTAAGTTGGGATAGATTTACAGAGAAAAAATGTGCTTAGGCCACGACTGTCTGAGCTTGGTTGTCAAGCGTCCTGCA